TGAGTGAGTTGGTGAGTGTGTTGGTGATTGACTTGGTGGGTAGTTGGGTGATTGAGTAGGTGGGTGGGTGTATAGATGAGTGAGTGAGTGAGTGAGTGATTGGGTGGGTTTGTTGGATAGATGAGTGAGTGAGTGATTGGGTGGGTGATTGAGTGAGTGAGTGGGTGGATGGGTGATTGACTGAGTGATTGGGTGCATGGGTAGATATGAGTGAGTGAGTGGGTAGATTTGAGTGAGTGAGTGGGTGGATGGATGATTGAGTGGATTGATGTGTGAGTTTGAGTGAGTGTGTGGATGAGTGATTGAGTGGGTTGGTTAGACTAACATATAGTCTGTGAAATCTTTTATTACACAATACACTGCTCTCCTTTAAAATTAAAACAAATAATTTTCCTGATGCTGTGTAATAGAGCTGGTTAGACTTTTGTATATATATATAGATCTATATTTTGTTTTCATAAAATAAATATATTCCACAGTCATTGTGCAGGACTAAGGGTTGGTGTGTGAGTGAATAAGTTGGTGTGATGGTGAATGAGTGGACGGATGGGTGATTGATTGGGTGGGTGGGCGTGAGTGAGTGAGTGGTTGGGTGTGAGTGAGTGAGTTGGACAGATGGGTGATTGAGCGAGTTGCTGTGTGGGAGTGAGTGGGTGGATGAATCTTCACTTGGGTGTGAGTCAGTGAATGTTTTGGTGTGTAGGTTGAATGAGGCAATGGGTGAATAAGTGACTGGAGGGGTTAGATAGTGCTTTTAGTAGGTTGTGATGGTAAAAGTCTAGATGGAGTCCATCACCATGCTAATCAAGTCCCGTCAAGTCTCACAAAGGAAAAAAACCAAGCTATTGTCACTCCACTTCAAACAGTACAATATTGAATACCATCATTAAAATATTCAACAAACAATTAACACAACAATCAACATAAACTGAAAAACATCATTCCAACTTCATCAAGTTATTAAGCAGATCATATGATAGTTTTTCTAATAGACCCTGAATTTTCTGAAGTTTTCAAAGTGCAACCTTTGACTTCCTCCCTGGTCGTTTTTGCTGTTTTAAAAGTTTTGTATAATTAACTTCCTTTTGGATGAATAAATCTCCTGGAGCTAGTAAAAAGTGGAAGCTGTAGTGAGAAAGCCAGCAGCATATAGTCTCCATCTGGACCAGGTTAGTTCCCACAAAAACAGGATATGATCTATTACAATACATTTTGCCCAAGTTCTCTAGCCGGGTAAACCTCTCCTGCTGCCATCTCATTGTAAACATGTGTCCTTCATTAGCAGAAGTGTGCATTCTTGCCTAGATAATGAGTGTTCCTTAGAAGAATTGTCAAGTTTAGGGTTTTATGTTCTTAGCTGGTTATGCATACAATACTAATCTCTCTCTGAGCTTCTGTCAAACTGGGCAAATGGCCGACTTCAAAGAACTCATTTTCACCCTTTAATAATAGGCCATAGGGGGTTCACCAAGCAAATTTGAAAACTCTTTTACTCATTTTTGGCTTGAACAATTGGGGGCTTAGTGTAAAAAGGGGGGTTTACATGCAACGGTACTATCCACATAGAATCAGGAAGTTGTCTGGAATAGAGAATAGTTCGGACTTCTCCAAGTTATTTGTGTGAAGTCTTGTGGCTACTCAATCTCTGATTCGACTATAATACCTAAATAGTGGAATAATTCCTAGAAAATTTGCTTTAGAACTTCCAAGACTCATTTTCATGGTGGTTAGAATTTCTTTTTGGGCTGACGGGGTTTGCAATGGCTTGGAAGCATGTACAGTCTTCAACCAGCTTGCATCCATTAGTAAAGACCAAAAGAAATCTGGAATTAATGGTGGAAAATCATTGATTGTGGTCCATTTTGGTCTGACTGACAGAATCTTCGTTTGTTGTCTAATGTTCTCCACACAGAAATGGAGCTTTCAGCTGAAACTCCCAATGACCTGGTGTTCCATTATGTTTGTAGGAGAGTTGTCTTGTAGGGTTCCGAATGGGTAATTGTTCCAGGGAAATCTGTCAATCAGTGGTAATGTCTTGAATGATGTAATCGTCTCAACTACGATGCTAGATCAAGTATCCTTATATATTTCTCAACCCTGATTAATACAATTAGTACGGGGGGAGTTTAAGGGATGTACATTAACTCAATCGTTCTCCCTTTAGCTTTTGTAAAGTGCTTAAAAATGAAGTTGATGTATGTCATACCTGTTGACGCAACACATTATGAGAATACTTTTATATTGAACCTCTTTCGTGTTCAGTGAATTTAGGTTGACACTAAAAGGATATAACCTGACTTATTCCTTTCTTAAAAATGATATGGAGATTTAATCTAGATTTATTATGTCATTGATTGTCTGAAGACAAGGTGTATTGCCTTCAATATGGTATGTGCATCAGGACGATACTCTTCGGGGGCACGGGTGGCCCAGTAGTCTAAGGCGCTGCGATTCACTGAACAGAGTTGCGTCCCTTGGGCACGCCAGAAACCTATGATTGTGGGTTTGAATCCCGGTTCGCCCCGATTATGTTTCTGGGTTTGTCAGCACCATACCCGTGCCCGTGGGTTTCACTGAAGCTGTAAACGTCTGAGACCTGCATCACTTCGGGCTTTCCTCCCACATTTAGCTGACACGCTGTGATATAACTGGAATACTGTTAAAAGTGGCGTAAACCCAACTCACTCACATTCACTCACTATACTCTTCATTGAGTTCATATAAGAAATTAAATAATTACAATTCATAGTCTTTTCCAAATAATTTTAAACAGAATAACAGTTTTTTCCTGAACCTGTATGTAATAAGTCTGATTGTCTCAAGTGATATAAAGTCTGTCACATGTTTGGATTAGGTTGGAATATGTGTCTTCTTTAAATCTGTTTTCATGCGTGTCTATATGAAAGCATCTGTTCAGTGTTTTCTCTAGTTTTTACACTTCTCATTGGAATTTTGCTTATGGTGTGGTAAAAATATTGAATCCAATGGACATTGGTATTGGTGAAATTAGAATTCTCTGTCACCCAGCTGTTCAGCTATTCTTCCGAACTGCAGATGCCGGGGAAATTCCTGATATAAAAATACTAATATGACAAAGATAGTTGCTCCTGAAAAAATCAAAATCTGCAACATAGCTTTGAGAAAATAAGGAAAATAGTTTGGAAACTTCTTCAAGAACACAGGAAAGTCGGGTGATTATTGGAGACATTTTATTGCATCTTAAGAACAAGAACCTTTTTTTTTGGTCATGACTCTCTTTCTTGTGACAGATATAGTAATAACATTGGTAATTGTGTGTTATGTAGTAGAAGTATTCATAGACTGCATCTCCTACTGATGGGGATTGTCATGACAGTGAGAAACCAGGAACTTGGGAATCGGTTACTGCCCCGCAGATTGGAACCACCTTGAACTGACATGATCCACTCAGTGACATTTATTGGCTCCAACTTTTGTTAGGTTGGTTTTAAGTTGGTGGTTAGATGATGTCGGGTGCTTGGTAAGAGGAGGGCCCGCGATGATGGAGTGGGGGCCACGTCTGTTTGTAGCTGGACTGGGGGATGTTGTGATTCTTTGCTTGCTAATGTTTGAAGGTAGTCTAATTTCATTTGTCCAAACTTGATGCTGAGCATTCTTATCATAATACAGAAACGCACAGACATAAAAAGCGGCAACAGTCAAGATTGAAACGTGTGACACATTGAAAAGATAGCGACTTCTGGAAGAGGAGCCCTTAACAAATGCCTAATGGAAATAGGGCCAACAATTGCGAATTTGACAATTGTTGTTTGCGTCGTAGAAAGTCTGTGCCTCCATCCCATTTCCTGCACCAGATGGCGCCTTTATTTCCTTTCATCAGAGACCATTTTCTTGGGGGGCTACTATGGATTTTTGCCATTGAAAGTGTCGGTCCAAGTATCCCGAAAAGTGATAGATGCTAATGGGGAGGAAAGGCGCATGTCACATACCGATGCAGACAGAGCCTTGCTCTTAGCAGATATGGATCACCATTAAGCACCCACAAATGACAAGAAAATGAAAAGAAGATTCAAACCAAAAGCCACCATGCAGGGGTCGGGGAATGCGTTCTGAACTTCTTTCTTTGTCTCTTGTGGCCAAAGTTGCAACACAACCACAAGTTGACTACGAACGTGGCGAACCATCGTATGTTGCGATTGTATGTCTGTCACGGACACAAGCGCCATCGTCCTTGCATGATGACGGCACCTTAAGTCAATTAAAAGCCTAATCTGTAACAGGAGGTCTTAATGGACAAAAAATATGATTTCCTGCCTCTTAGATGGTTCTAGTGGCAACAAAGCCAAGGACAAGTTTTGTTTTGAGGATTGTAAATGCGTTATCTTCTTCCCTATATGCTCCACCAGAAACATAAATTATGTGGGAATTTCCTCTCACAGAAGCACCAGTAGATGACTTTGATCTTAACTGGTTCTTATCTTCTCACATCTAAAACCAAACAATCCGAGAGCAAAAACTATGTCTTTTGGTAGGCATAATTTCCTCACGATAGGCATAATTTCAACAGCTATATTTTGATTTTGAAAGCGTAATAGAGAAATATGACACTATGCATGTAGAGATTTAGAAGTTAAAAAAACTCATCATTTATTTGTTGATCAGAAATGGAAGATTCCTGGGCCGACTTGTCAGCAGACATTTTGCTATCCTAGGGAGTTTGCTCAACTTTTTCTTATTTATTGTGGAAATGTAGATGAACTTTTTCAGTGACTCGCATACAATGACATTAGTGGATTTTGAGTATTCAAAGAATGTTTTGTTTTGCAATTCCTTAATATGATTTACACTTAATATGTCTTTACTCGTATTTTCCCTTTTAATTGTTTTTCTGTTTGTTTATTATTATTGTTGTTAGCGCTAGTATTACCATTACAATTATTATTATTATTATTGTTATTATTATTATTATTATTATTATTATTATTATTATTATTATTATTAACATGTCTCTTGTGTTTCAGGGCCACCCAGCTCCCCCTGGTGACGGCTTCGGACTGCAAGGTAAGCATTAGCGAGATACATCCTCATCATCCCCGCGAATTGATGACAACTTCATTTTGCATTGTTAGCACTTTTCTCTCTCATTCACATCATCATCATCATCATCATCATCATCATCATCATCAGGCCTAGTACTTTGTCCCTCGTCACAGTACAATGCATGGTAATGCACGACTTGTGGTCAGCCTAGACATGAGCGGTGGCTGAGACTGTATACTGAGATGGTCATGTAGCCATGCTGACACATCCTTCAGGGGTTCTATAAAGAGGAGTCAGTCAAGGAACCAGTGGCCATTGCTTGGTTGTTTTAGTAATGGTAAACAGAAACATCATCAAATCAACTACACCCTAAACCCCAACTCCAACATGAACCCCAACCTCTAAACCCCTAAATCCCACACCCAACAGCAACTTCAACCTCAAACCCCAGCCCCAACAGTATACCCAATCTTAAACTCCAACTCCAACTCCAACATCAACCCAACCCCAAACCCCACACCTAACAGCAACTTCAACCTTTAACCCCAGCCCCAACAGCAACCCCAATCTCAAACTCCAACTCCAACATCAACCACAAACTAAAACCCCACACCTAACAGCAACTTCAACATTTAACCCCAGCCCCAACAGCAACCCCAATCTCAAACTCCAACTCCAACATCAACCACAAACTAAAACCCCAGCCCCAACAGAAATGTTTGACAATGACGTGTCTATGTCCTTTCAGAACTTAACACTAGCAATGTTAGATTCTATAATGAAATTATTGTCAAACTTTGATTTCATGAAGTCAACAATGACAAGTTTATTTCTTACTTCAACTTAATTGTACAGTGGAGTTTGAATTTCTATACAACCCTGGGAAAGTTTGAAATTTACTAGGAACCCAAAGCCGTACTTTATTTGTTATCAAAGATGGTGTTATTGTGTGGAAGTACCCTTATTACGTTGTATCCGGTCTCTCATCAGGCCGTAATAAGACCTGAAAATTGATTAAGTGGGATGTAAAAAATGCCACTTGAGGCCATAAAGATTGTTTGTTTTTTATTGTTTTGGAAGAATACAAACTGTTACTAGCGGAGTGGCAGACATCGTAGTTTGGCCCTCATTTGACGCTCCCTAGAAGGATCCGCTGACTGTAATTGGTGCATGGGTGGAGACGCGGCACGACTTCTCCTTGTCATTTGAGAAATAGACTTTTCCGTTTGAACACAAGAATAGGTTTAAACCACACCAAATAAATCAGTTGATATTTTTTCACTAATGTGAGGAATGGAGGGTGATTTCTGGTTGAATTGTGGTAGAAATTGTTTTTGAAAATGTTTGTATTTAGCTCAGTAGATGTTAGTGATGAGGTGTACCCTTAGTTTATGTTTGATTATTTCCTGTTTTCTTTGCTAGGCGGATATGTAGTATGGGTGTTTTCCTTGGCAAACAATTTTAGGAGCAGAAAAAGAAACGAGTTTGGGCTCAACTGTTTGTAACTTAAATTTAATAAGAAATGTTATCTTTTGATATGGAAAGTTACAAATTTAGGTTTTCATAACTATAAATTTATAATAAACTTAATAAATTAGATTTTGAATAACATTGAAATAAGGAAAATTTGAAATTTCAATTTTCATAGTTAGATAAAGCATCAAACGAAATATCAGCAAAATAATTTTGGAAATGTATAGGTCATAAACTTTTTTAATCATATCTTGAATTCCTGGCAACAAGAAAATTGGATACATATTTACTTGATATTGTTTTTTAAAAGCTGTAGGGGTATGTATGTTATATCTCATGAACAACACAAATTAAACAATATGGTTGCATCAGTTTCAAAGGAACTCCAGCAACAGAAACATTTTTTTAACAGTAGCCTGTTCCTGAAAAAAGCATGTTTTATATCCGGTTTTGGCTATAATATTGAAGGAGATAAAAACGGCATGTCTGGGAAATATCTATGATGGCCTCGCCTCTGTATTATTTATCTCTAATTGATGCAGGCTGGCCTCTGTTATAGGTTACAGGGGGGTTCTGTGAATGCTGATTTCTATTTTGATAAGGGGGCACCCTGTTGTGTTGATTATTGAAGAAAATAATTCCCTTTCTTCAAGAAAATATTAAAGCATTAAGGCCTGATTATGGCTTCGTTTAATTACCATTTATCTGTGCAATAACTGTCAGGGAGGAAGCCTGAACTTCATAGCCTGGCCCAGAGTGGTTCACAATTGACTTGGCTGTATTTTGTATACTAGGCGACCACTGAAAGGCCGTTTGGTCTCTGTCCGATTGTCTTAATGACGTTAATTAGCTTGATAAGACTGCCCCCTGTGGACAGAAGCTTTATTACCCCTTGGAGAAGGGCAGATAAGCCCTTCAGCTGGTGAAAAACTCCATTATAATCTGTCACTTGGGCCTGTCACTTGAGTTAGAATAGCCTACTGTCTGGACTGGTATAGGACAAAACCATTTCACGCCTGTCTTGTGCTACTCAATGTGCAAGAGCGTCAAGACTTGAAGTTAATTGCCTTCATCTTCAAACTTACTTACAGAATACAATTAGAAACCATCCATAGTCACAATATGACATTGCTCGATAATGAACCCAACTCTGGTACAGAGTCTGCTCTGGAGGGGCACTAACAAACACGATCATGCCACTAGGGGCACTACCAAACAGGATGATACTGCTAGGGGCACTTACAAACAGGATGATGCCGCTAGGGGCACTAACAAACAGGATGATGCCGTTAGGGGCACTAAGACATAGGATGATGCCACTAGGGGCACTTACAAACAGGATCATGCCACTAGGGGCACTACCAAACAGGATGATACTGCTAGGGGCACTTACAAACAGGATCATGCCACTAGGGGCACTAACAAACAGGATGATGCCACTAGGGGCACTAACAAACAGGATGATGCCGCTAGGGGCACTACCAAACAGGATGATGCCGCTAGGGGCACTAACAAACAGGATGATGCCGCTAGGGGCACTAACAAACAGGATGATGCCGCTAGGGGCACTACCAAACAGGATGATGCCGCTAGGGGCACTAACAAACAGGATGATGCCGCTAGGGGCACTACCAAACAGGATGATGGTGCTAGGGGCACTAACAAACAGGATGATGCCGCTAGGGGCACTTATAAACAGGATGATTCCACTAGGGGAACTAATGAATAGGATGATGCCAGTAGGGGCACTAACAAACAGGATCATGCCACTAGGGGAACTAACAAACAGGATGCAGCTGCTAGGGGCACTAAGAAATAGGATGATGCCACTAGGGGCACTAATAAATAGGATGATGCCACTAGGGGCACTAATAAATAGGATGATGCCACTAGGGGCACTAAGAAATAGGATGATGCCACTAGGGACACTAAGAAATAGGATGATGCCACTAGGGGCACTAAGAAATAGGATGATGCTACTAGGGGCACTAAGACATAGGATGATGCCACTAGGGGCACTACCAAACAGGATGATGCCACTAGGGGCACTTATAAATAGGATGATGCCACTAGGGGCACTACCAAACAGGATGCTGCTGCTAGGGGCACTAACAAATAGGATGATGCCAGTAGGGGCACTTATAAATAGGATGATGCCACTAGGGGCACTAACAAACAGGATGATGCCACTAGGGGCACTTATAAATAGGATGATGCCACTAGGGGCACTACCAAACAGGATGCTGCTGCTAGGGGCACTAACAAAAAGGATGATGCCACTAGGGGCACTTATAAATAGGATGATGCCACTAGGGGCACTAATAAATAGGATGATGCCACTAGGGGCACTAATAAAAAGGATGATGCCAGTAGGGGCGCTACCAAACAGGATGATGCCACTAGGGGCACTTATAAATAGGATGATGCCACTAGGGGCACTAATAAATAGGATGATGCCAGTAGGGGCACTAATAAATAGGATGATGCCACTAGGGGCACTAATAAATAGGATGATGCCAGTAGGGGCACTAATAAATAGGATGATGCCACTAGGGGCACTAACAAACAGGATGCTGCCACTAGGGGCACTTATAAATAGGATGATGCCACTAGGGGCACTACCAAACAGGATGCTGCTGCTAGGGTCCTAAGAAACAGGATGATGCCACTAGGGGCACTACCAAACAGGATGCTGCTGCTAGGGTCCTAAGAAACAGGATGATGCCACTAGTTGAATGTGGCTATGTGTTTGTCTCCTCTGCATCAGATTCCGGTAAACACTATCAGATCAGATAACGTGTAGGTTCTTTCCTGTGTTTCTGCCTGTCTGCCATGGTCTGTCTGTCATTGTCTGGTCTTCAGTTCAGGCCTGGCTGTCATTGGTTGACAGATGGATATGATGTTGTATACACAAGGCACTGTTTCTGCTCTCAAACACTGACTGGTGTAATTGATGATTGTTTCATCCTATTGGGGTGGATGTTGGGGGGGAGATTTCTGTACCATACATCGGCTGAAGGAACATTGTCATAGGGGAGTCGATGGCCACTTCTTGCTACGGTGTGTTGAATCCCTCCCCATATCTGGATCACTAGAAGGGTTTCAGATTCCCTGATTGGTTCCAGTTATGATTCTTGGCACATCAGCATCATGAGTCTGTCACTCAGTCGTACTCATCAACAACCTGCTTCACCTCGGGCTTTCATCCATCATTCAAGTGATGTGCCATGATTTTACTGAAATACAAAGCCCGCATTAAACTATCTCACTGGCTTACAGACGAGCATTGTTTGAATGTTGTTCCCAAACTCATTCCCTCAAAATAAATCTAATTGTTTGAACTTCCCGACTCCGGTATCACCTGGAGGTCATTAAGAGGATACTACAGCTAACGAGACCAAGTTCCAGTTAATCTCTCACCTCTCCCTCCTCTCCCCCTCTTCCCACTCCCCCTCCCTCCACCCTCCTCCCAGTGTTCATCTGATGCTGATTATCCAGCAATGAGGGTTAACTGGACAGAAAGGCACTTCAGTTTAAACAGCACCACA